TGGAACAAATCGCGCTCTCGCCTGCATTTCGCGCACTCGACCCGCGCGATCTCCGCAGAGGGTTGCGCGGGCCAGGGGCAAATCGCACTCTCGCCTGCATTTTGCGCGCTTGACACGCGCGGTCTCCGCAGAGGGTTGCGCGCGCATGGGACAAAGCGCACTCTCGCCTGCATTTCGCGCACTCCACGCGCACGATCTCCGCAGAGGGTTACATTTTCGGTTGACGCTGTTCGTCCCACCCTCCGCCTTTAAAGGGATTTTATGAAGCGGGGAAATGTTTTTCATTAGGATATCTCCCGCGAAAGTTTTTTCAATACTCACACTTGCATACTTGCGCTGTCACACTTGCATACTTGCACTGGGATACTTACACTGGCATACTTGCACTTGGATGCTTTCACCCTTACACTTGCATTGGGATACTTACACTTGCATACTTTCACTTACAAACTTTCACTTGGATATTTTTGTGCCATTGTGAGTATAGAAGTGTAAGTGTTCAAGTGTAAGTGTAGAAGTGTGAGTGTTCAAGTGTAAGTGTATGTAGAAGTGTCAGTGTTCAAGTGTAAGTGTAGAAGTGTCAGTGTTCAAGAGATTTCCCGGAAGAACCCTTCGCAATGCTGTCGGGAAAATTTAATTGTCATCAAGAAAACACTTAAATCATCAAAAACAAATTTAGACAATCAAACAATAATTAAGCGATGCAGAGGAAGGAAGGAAGGAAGGAGGGAGGGAGGAGGGAGGGAGGGAAGGAAGGAAGGAAGGAGCGCAGGAGCGAAGGAGGGAAGGAGCGCAGGAGGGAAGGAGCGAAGGAGGGAAGGAGCGGAGTGGGGGCACCACTGGACCAGAACCAGCTGATCTTTACTTAAAACATGTTAAAACCAACGAAGAGCAAATTACAACATAGAGAAAAGACGGAAAACTGTTGGAATATGACTGATGTGAAACTAAACCATTACGACTAAGTACGACTCTTACCACTAGCACTACTAACCACTAGGAGGGGCATTTTGTCGGTTTTCTATTTTACTCTATTCTATATTTGTTTTCTCGGACTCTGCTTTTGCTGCTTTTCTGCTTTTGTAGCTTTTCTCCTTCTGCTGTTTTTTGCTTTTGTTGCTGTTCTGTTTTTGCTGCTTTTCTGCTTCTGCTGTTTTTTTGCTTTTGTTTCTTTTGTGTTTTTGTCCTTCTGCTCTTTGCTTTTGTTGCTTTTCTGCTTTGGCAGCTGTTCTCCTTTCTCTTTTTGTTTTTTGCTTTTGCATTTGTTTGCTTTGTCGATTTTTTTGCTTTTGTGTATTCCTACCTATCACAGCAGTTTGGCGCAGTTACCTTTGGATCTGGTGTGCTGCTGGGGGGGTGCTGCGCCCCCCCCCCAAACCCCCCCCGCGCCACGAAATCTGCACTTCATCTCCGACACCCGCGCCTGCCACGAAATCTATATTGTTTTAGGTGAACTCCGCGGGGCAAAACCTTCTAACCAACCAAATATGCCTCCTGTGCTAGTTCTCTTTCTCTTTGCTGTTTCTCAGCTAGCTGCGCCAAACTGTTGTTATAGATAGGAATTTCTCTGACACCTACACTATTCCAATGTATTTTGCTTGCCAGCTACGACAGCTCTGTCTCTACTAGGGATACCAAGTTAGTCTAACCAGCTAGCAGTCAATATGAAACCTGCACTATTACAATGTATTTGGCCAGCTACGACACCTGTGTCTCTGCTAAGGACACGAAAATGTTGTAATTAGCTTTAGGAAACCTGCTCTATTCCAATGATTTTGAAAAATTGCCGAAAAATAGAAAACAAATTAAAAGTGCACCCTAACTACTACCTACCAACTACCAGCTACACCCCTCCAGCTTTGTTTGTTTATGCGAGCATTTGCTATAGTGCTAGTACCCGCTTGCTGCCACAACGCCGACGACGACGACGACTACTACTACTCCTACAGACTGCAACAACACTCATCCCAACAAATATCTAATCAAAAGACATATTCCAATAATTTCTTTTGACTCTGAAACATGTATATATATATATTTTGCTAATGAGTGGTCTTTGGCCTGCGCAGGTCACGATATTTACGTCAATACATTTTTTGATGATTTAAATTCGATTTTGATAAGGTCATTAATTTCTTTTTGATTATTTCTTGATCGTTCACTCCTTTTCACAACCGAAGCTGGTAGCGTTGCAAGCCAGAGCAGGTACAGCATATCACTGGGACGGTGTCCAACAAAGCTACCAGTTAAATGGGGTATCCAGCATGGTCAGCTGGACGTTCCTGCTGAAATTTTTCTTCAGTGGCCTTGGGCGAAGCCAAGGACTCAGTGTATGGACATGTATATAATGAATCGAAAACCACACACATTTTTTGACGGCGTCGCCTGTTTCCACGAAGGATGCTCATGTTAGGATGTTCTGGGGATTCGCTTGAACGTTCTGCCAATCTCCTTTGATTCTCAGTGCGTGCGGGTGTGTGATCGCAACTGATCGCAACTCATCGCGGAGCGCCTGATCGACTCACCCGACGCGCACTGTTCGACGCGCTTTTAGGGTTCCGGTCTCGGTGGAGCGGACTCGGCCAAGGTTGGAGGCAAGACTGCCCCTCGGTGAACTATCGTGACCATGCCACTTGCACTGACAATATCGGTTCACTTTTTCACCAGCCTGTTGGTGGTCGCATGCTTGCTGCAAACATATATGGTTGTCATGGTTATTTTATGTATTTGTGTTACGTGCAGCGAGCTGCTCTGCATCCGCCGAGCACTCGCGTCCGCTTGACCGAGATATGTATTTGTGTTACTTTTTGATTAGCAGATGGTGTTTGTTATTTGATGCATAGTCAATTCAAGGTGAAGGCTGTTGAGATGCTGTTGTGCATGGTAATAATGACTAATGACCCTGCCGCCCGAGCCTTTGAGGCAGACATAGCAGGACTGCCAAGAGACCTGCGAGTTTACACATTATTTTTGGCCTAAAGAAATTTACAAGTTCACATCACTATTTTTTTGTGCGGTTACCAACGGCTTTGCACCAATCCAAGTGAAGCATTCAAGCATTCGAGTATTTTTTCGCCACTGTCACAAAGTGATGTGAAGATTATGACGAAAATTTGGACTCAGCTACACCTTTCAACCAGGACCAGCTTGCAGCACCCAAGGCTATTGGTTGCTTGGGTTTTCCAAAAAAAATATGCAGTTTGAGATGTATCATAGTAGAAGAATTTGCTTTGCAATGCTTCTGATTACTTTTGTTTAACGTTTCTGTATTTGTCATCAGAGGTTGATGCAGAATCTGCATGTCAATGCAGCGCTGTCTTGTGTGATGCGCTTTTCTCCACTTTATACTGTACCCAGGAACGGCGCTGCTCACATGGGTGGCAACACTAGTGGCATGGTCTGGAGCATCAAGTCTATAACTGATTGCTTCAAAAATTCCAGGCAGGTCATAAGACAGGTGTGTCCGTGCCCATTTCTTACTTTTGATCTTCGCATTGGGCACCGCTTTTGTTGAGTTCCTCACACGTCGCTCTGCCAGGGGTGCTGTCTTTCAGGAGCGGTTTCCGCATCGTGCGTTCTTACGGTGTAGTAATTTGTCGCTTTTGATCGACCGGTGAGAGTGTGTGGGGCTCGCATCGATGAAGTGTGTGGCTCATCGAGGTGTTTATCTAGGTGAGATCCAGCTTCAGGACATCCGAACGACAGAAGGAAGCACCTATGAGTTGGAATTCTACACCATTGCTGCAGCCCCGGTTCATGACGCAAGCACGATGTCCACCGCACGACCTCTCAAGTAAAGCAAATCAATATGTTCAAGGGATGGAGCTCTGGAGCCTGAGGATGCCTTCAGGAACTACAAGACATCGAATGAAACGCAGGTGCATGTTGAGGCAAGGGACCTGTATTGAGCGAGTAGAGAGATGAGATTTGCAAAAGGTTCCTGATGAGATGCATCTGTATCAGGCTTTTGAGGAATCTGATATACCTGCGTGTGCGGCGGATTTTGCATTTTCTGCACAGGTGCAGTCGCCCACTGGGACCACCCTCATTGATGTACCTTGGACGGCAAATTGCCCACATGACATGATACCCATGTCAGAATCCGACATTTGGGTTTCATGGACGCTTCTTGCAAGCCTCGCACGTGAGAACTTACATTAGATGCCCAAGGAAGCCATTGCTGTGATGGGATCTGCCTTTGAGCCTGTGGATGGTGTCCTGTCTGATACGGCCTCTCCATCTCATTGGATCTTACCAGAAGACTTCTCTAGTGGATGTATGGCACCTTTTTTTTTGATGTCCCCTCGTTTATGCAGCTACTGCCAATCCTAGTTGCAGTTGTGGGAATTGGCTCAACACTAGAAACCTTTCTGTTCATTCTTCACTTTGCCGGGAAGTGACTGAGTTGAGCGGTATCCTGTCCCCATCAGAGAAAGTAAAGGGTAGTGACTTCCTCACACTTTAGTCAGCTGCTTCTCAATCACTCGGCCGAGGCAGCTGGAGCTTTGCTGGCCCGTTTCCCTTCCAGGCTTCGAGTGAGAACACTCGTATCTACTTCTATGCGGGAGGCGGGGTTGGCTGGATGAGGCGCCTGGTTTTTGGCTTCTCCATGACTTCAGGAATGACTGCTTCTGCTCAACATGTTATGTCAGTCACGTCCTTTGCAGCAAGTGCCTCTATGTCAAGTTCTGAGGCTAGAAGGGCAGAGTGTAGCAGGTTGTGAGGGCATAGGCCTATAAGGACCTATAACATGTATATATACTGCAACTCTCACCCCATTGTTGTTTCCTCAAATGTTGGGTCCTCAGTGGCAGTGCTTCATTGTGTCATTGGTTCATTCCTCCTCCGTGGATAATAGCCCAACAACAGTTCGTGGTGCAGTTTCAGGCTCGGCTTGTCCTATGCTGGACAACGTTCGAGTAAGAGTGACGAAAGAAGCAGAGACTACAGCACGGAGCTGAGAAGTCTTTTTCTTGGGAGAAAAATAAAAGTCAGCCTGAGTCAACCCCAAGTGCTGGTGGTGGTCGTGGTGGGTTTAAGCAACTCCATGATTCTGCTCTTTGATTGCTGAGACCACTGAAGCTCCGGAGACTACACCTTCGACTACCACGATGGCAAGATCGAGCAGTGACACCGCAGCAGCTGCCACAGCTAAATCGATCGCAACAGCCGAGGCTGCCCTCAAGGCTGGAGCCACTGCGGCCGCCACAGTGCTGCGCAATGGTGGGAAGGCACATGAGCAGTCGCTGGCGGCCGCGAATGCTGCCGCCGCTGTCTCCAAGAGCAGTGGCCGCAGCTTGCCGCAACAAGCGTTCATAGCTGCGAAGGCTGCGGCCTTGGCCATCCAAGCTGCAGGTGAAACGGTTGAGCTCCAATGTGCTGAGGCAGGTCGAGCGGCCTTTTTTGTGTCCAAATCTGGTGGGCTAGCAGAAGATCAGATTGCTTCACGGGCTGGTGATGCGGCAGTATCTGCTGTCAAGCCACAAAACTTGCAGTCTCAACAAATGGTCGAGTGTGTGGCTGCAGCAGTGAAGACAGCTTGCAAATCGGCTGGCATGGATTCAGAAGCACAAGCAGAATGTGCTGGCTCCTCTGCGATTTCAGCTGCCCAGAGAGCAAACATGACTGAGGATGAGCAAGCAGAAGCTGCTGGCAAGGCTGTAGAAGCAGTCATGTACATGAAGCATGATACCAGCATGGATGCATGGGGACAGCTCACCACTAGCCCTGCCACGACCACTACAACCAAGAATCCTGAGATTGAGGACCGCTCAGCTCATACTGCCATGGCGTGTGCTCACACTCCCCATACTCCACACTGCTCAGGGACGGCAGGTGAAGAGTGTCATTCTTTTCAGGAATTTTGGATGAACTTGGCTAGTTTGTTGAGGTTTTTGTGGACTCTTCACCCATGCCGTAGAAAGAAGGGGACCAGTTGGAAATATATTTCTTTCCAAGCTGATGACCAAATGCAACACGTTTGGCACCCCGATGTCGTGCTGTACGTCGTGCGTGGACCTGTGGCATTGTTATCAACTAAAATGGTCTGATACTCACGCGTGCCGGATGTGCTGTCAATGGTTGTCTTCGCGGTCGCAAAACGGGCTCTTTAGCCGAGGTTCGTTGATGCATCAACTTGACGTGGTGGAATCTCGACTGTTTTGCACCAGGTCCGTTGATCATCGAATTAGGACTAAGCTTTTCGCGCGCCAGGAGCTCTTGCACGAGGTGCAGGAAGCCAAGGCTGCCGCTGGCTTGGCCGCCGGTGCCGCAGCCGAGGCGGCTGCCGCCGCAGCCAAAAGCCGCGAGGGGTCGGCAAGCAGCACGACGATGATGAGTGTGGCACGGGGTGCCAGCTATGAGACGCTTGGATGGGAGAATGGGAGGATGCGGGTGAAGGTTAAGAAGGCAAGCAAGTCACCTCATGTCAATGATGTAAGCATTATGAGTCATGAGTCACGAGCCCTTTCTTTCTGCTGTGGCTCAGCAGAAGCTCATAGAGGCCGGTGATTCCACTAAGGACTGAGGTGTTCGTCACAGATCATCCCACTGCGGAAATACCTGAGGTGGGAAATGATCTCAGCAACGCCGCTTTACTCGCGTGACAACCCGCAGAGATAGAGAGAGAGAGGGAGAGACTGAGAGCCTCTTCAGAGTGCAATCAATCTGTCATCACATGAGTCAATCAGTCATTACAGAGTACAATCTTTCAGTACATCACTTCTAGTGTTTCTGGAAGAGTCATCACATGTGCCGCCGCTTCTCAGTCCTTGTTTCCAGGCACATCCAACGGAGCGTCCCTTCACCAGCACCACACACAAGCTCTGGAAAAATGCCTGCCCTGACAAGACCCGCGCTCCACGTGGCACGTGGGTCGTCTACAACCTGAGTGACCTGGACTGTTCCGCTTTGGATTTGAGTGAGTTGCTGTTGTGATTTGTGTGGTTTCAAATCGAGGTAGCTGAGTTGTTGGCCTGAGTTCTACGGTAAAGAAATCTTGTCAAGAAGTGACGCAGGTGCCTGTTTCAAGCTGCATGCATGAAAACCGCAGGATCTTACATTCTCACAAGTCACAAGTCTGCCCATTTTGTGGATGCCCTCAGCTTGTTGGGCTTACAGCGGCTCACATAAAAAAATGGCGCAGCCGGTTGCCGAAGCCGGTCCGTAGATTGTACCCCAACCTTTCTTATTCAGAACGACGTGATCTGAAGACTGCTCAAAGTTAAGTTTCCCTAAAGATCTAGGAACCAAATAAATAGTGTGAGCGCCCCCTCAATAACACCGAAAAGACTTGTTTGTTTGCACTCTGACTCTGAACGGTTTTGCCATCGAGGTAGTACGCCCATCCTGCACTCCTGCCTGGTGAAGCCGATGAAGGATCGTGTGCCTGAAGAGTGTTGCAATGCTCCAGGCGCTCTAAACTTAGTTGGTGCCACCTTTGAGGAGAGAGCTGTGCTTCTGTGCTTGCATTGACGCTATGATTGGCAAAGAGAAGGCTCGCTTAGTATGTGAATGTCCAATAGGTTCATTTGATGGATGAAACTGTTCTGCTAGATGTCATATTGTGTTGGGCAATCACAGATATTGAGAAGAAATCACCAATATTGGGAGGACCCTTGGGTGCCGGAAGTTCGGAGTTCACGTCATGGTTTCCGCAAGTGACCGTAGATCTGGCCACCGCTGATGACAGGAGCTCTACTACAGCAATGACTACGGCTCCTGCGTGACTTTGACCCATGCAGGGCCACTGGCGGGAAAGACCAGCAAGTTGCAGTGCAATTCGGACAACTCCGTCACTTACGGAGAAGGTCGGTGTGGCGAGGACGACATCATTGGAGTTTGAGGGAGTTTGAGCAAGTTTGAGCTATGTCATGAGCTTGTCATACTTGATCTCAGGTGTTCTGGTGGACATGATTCTAGATACTGATGCAAGCAAGCTCATACTCATTTTGTCCCGTTGCAGGACTGCAGTTGCAGCTTTCAAGATGTCTACACGCCAGGCTGACGGAGTTGAACCATGTTCAAGACAAAGGGAGCATCAAACAGACTGGGAGGTTTGGATAAAAACTATATATGCTCCGCATGGACAGGAATGTCTAGGGAACAACATATTTCTAGCATGTTGCATAGCTATGCAAATACTGTATATATATATATATTCAATCATTTAAGGTAGGCAGGGTCGGTGATGAGGAATTATTTGGGAAGCTTCAAGTCAACGTCTCCCTGATGTTTGAATGCTCAAGCCAAACTGGGGAGACACCCTTGAGGAGCAGGGCCACTGCTGGTACCTCAAGTTGGATTTTTCTCCGGTTTCATTTGCTGCCATGTCCATGGATGATGCCCAAACGCGCCGGGCGGTTGAGCAGGCGAAGCTCGACCGTTGGTGCTCGGCGCATGGCATCGAGGCAGCTTCCAACTTGGCCTTCTACTTCGTGACGTATGAGGAGGCCTTGTTGGAGGGCGCGTTGGGAGCAGGCTCGACGCGATGTCGAGATTGGTGCTGGAGCCCTTGTGCGCGATCTCTTTCGTCGTGAGCAGGTCTCGCAGTCTGCTCCCAGGCCAACTACATCACCGACCTTGCCGCCGCGACCTACCCCGTCTTTTGCCGGGCCTGTCAGGCCCAACGCCCAGGGCCACCAGTCGGGCCCTGTGGGAGGCGCTCTGTCCTTCTTGCCGCAGCTCATGGCGATCCTCTTGGCGATCGAGCCCCCGCCTGCCGAGCGCTTCGTGGAGTTCACGGCTAACTTTGAGGCAAGGCTCAAGGGCACTCTGCAGCGGGCCGAGGCAGCCACGGGTAAGCGAGCCCTCCACACCTGGCAGGAGTTGCAAGGGGCGCTCGCGTCGGCTGGAGTTACCCAGCCCGATAAGCATTTGCTGGCCACATTTGTTCGGCAGCATGCCGCGCCTACTCGGGCCTTTACCTCTCTGGGATGGTTGGTCCGCAACTTGAGACTTCCGTTCTGCGCAGACTCGCCGATTCCCGCTGGGGCTTGCGGCGAAGCTCTTCGGCTTCGGCTGTCTCGGGTTCTTGACTACGGGGTGCTTCGGTAAACTCGGCCGGTCGGGCCTCCACAGTATTAAGGAGCGACAATACTCCTCCCAAGTCACGATGTCCTCGGAGCTCTACCAGTCCTTTGACCGCATTCGAGCGCTACTTCAGTTAAAACCTGAACGTGAACTTACCCGCAGCCCCGTGCGGCAGCGCCGGTACTTGGCAGCATCTGATGCTGCGCAAGATCTGCCCCGAGAGGGCTCAGTTGGGGTTTTGGTCATTGACCCCCAAGGCCAACGTCGTGCCTATGTTGTCCACATTCGTCCTGAGATCTTTGACGTCTGGTCACGTCACGAGGCAAAAACTGCACGGTTGGATATATAGGGCTAGCGTACAATGCCTCCTCCACCAGAGGAATGCATGGCATATGGTTTGTCGACAACATTGCTGCCCTTATGTCCCTCATTCGGGGGCGAAGCAACAATTCAATGACGAGTTGGACTCCATGGCTGGAGCTGTTCACGGCCTCCTCTTTGCACTCCGTAGTGCTTGCTACTTTGAATGGGTCCAGAGCAAGGACAACTGGTCTGACGGCGTCAGCAGACAGGGCGAGCGTGACCCATGGTTTCAACGACATGGTTTCCGACTCTTTCGCACCTACCCCCTGTTCATGCTCCTCCACCTGCCCTACCACCTCATCGCTAAAGTCTTTCAGTTCGTCTAAGTAGTGCCTTGGATGGAGTGCTCCCACAGGGAGAGTGTCAGATGTCAGATGACACACGCGACGTGGGTCGCTTTTCAAACCAAAGCACTCAAGTACAGACCGTACAGACCTAAATCTATTCGCAGAAAAAAAGGGTAGCAGCAGCTGATCTCAGTTGATTGAGTTTCATCGAATATATTCAATCATTTAAGGTAGGCAGGGTCGGTGATGAGGAATTAT